TCCTCTTGATGCACCCCAGGATGCCGTTGGCCTTCTTGGCCACCAGGGCACCCTGCTGGCTCATGGCCACCTTGTTGTCCACCAGGACCCCCAGGTCCCTCTGGGCAGAGCTGCTTTGACCCATAGCGGTCTCTGCTGGGTGTGGGTCTCATGTCCCACCTTACGCCAAGGGCAAAGATGATGTTCCAGGGGTCAGGAGGGGCAGAAATTTCTTCTGCCAGCCAGGAAGGCCTCAGTCTGCAGCGACTGGTACATTCAAACCCTTAGGGGGGACTCAAGAGATGTCCGAGTCCTCCCAAACAACTCTACAGATGCTGTCCTGAAGGGTGCTGAGGGCCTCCCCAAGCCCCAGCCAGGTCCTGGGGGGGCTCCCCAAGCCCCGGCCAGGTCCCAGGAGGGTCTCACCAATTCTGGCCAGGTCCTTGGGGGCCTCCCCAAGCTCTGGCCAGGTCCCGAGGGGGCTCCCCAAGTCCTAGCCAGGTCCCATCCCTCCTGATATCTCAGAACCATTTTCAGCCAGTGGTTGCCTCCCACCCCAGCTCCACCACAACCCCTCTTCGGTGCTAGTAGGGTGTAAAACTCCTGTTCTAGCTGTTGTTGAGTCACCAAATCCACAGGTCTCCTCTGATTCAAAGGACAGGCTTTGAAGACTGGAAAATCCCAGTGCCTTCAGGAAGGGGTGGAAACGGGGCGGGCATCTCCCATTCTCTTCCTCCCGAGCTGTCTCTCTGCTACCGCCCAGCACCAGCAGAGCCACGGAGGGAAATCTGCTGCCCAAAGCCCTGCTAGAAAGGGGCTGGATCTCGGCTTAACCAATGGCTTAGAATCAGGAAGAGCCATCCCCTTCCTGATCATTTGAAAGTGAAACAAGCTCGGGTCGCACACCATGGCGGCCAAGAAATCTGTGGGAAGACTCCAGGATGAAGTCTCCTGCTCCATCTGCCTGGAACTTTTCCAGGACCCCGTGTCCATCCACTGCGGGCACAGCTTTTGCCGGGCGTGCATCACTCGGAACTGGGAAGGACGGACCACCAACTTCTCCTGTCCCCGGTGCAGGGAGACCGACCCCCAAAAGAGCCTCCGACCCAACTGGGAGTTGGCCAACATCACTGAAGCAGCCAAGAACTTGAATCTGCACCTGGGCAGAGAGGTGGGAGGAGGGGAGAACCTGTGCGAGGAGCACCAGGAAGCCCTGAAGCTCTTCTGCGAAGACGAGAAGAAGCTCATCTGCATAGTGTGTGAGAAGTACAAGGTTCACCGGAGACATTCGGTGATTCCCATAGATGAGGCTGCCCAGGAGTACAAGGTGAGGGGGTTTTGGGGCACGTTGATGGTGGGGCTGCTCCTGATGGGTGCGGGTACCTGTATAGCCTTTGGGCTGTGGGATAAACCACCTGTGGGGTCGCCTGTCCTTGTCTCTCAACAGCAACTGTTGAGGAGGTGTCACCTGCCCCGAGGAAGAGGTGGACGTAGGAGCACCACACTCTTGGGGGGACCAAGGGGTCACCTCTCCCAGGGCTGAGCCAGGAGCGGATGCGTACGATTCCTCACCGCCCCAATCCCCACGTAACCTTTAAACCTCACGATTCGCAAGGCCGGGAGTTTGCCGAGCGTCACGAGGGTTTGTTTGTCCATAACTGGCTCGCTCCTCCAGGACGCGGGTCCCTTCTCAAGATCAGCTCTGCTGAAGGTCACTGGGGAAATAAAGCAAAGACAGCCTCTGCCCTTTTCCTACCCCACCGTTCCCTGGAATGTCCTTGACCGTGGAAAAGGGGGGGAGGTTCATAATAGCTTTGAAACGGTCACGGACGTCACAAAACTTCTGCGATGCTTCCAGAGCGGTCGAGAGTTCCCCATTGTTTCTGCTGAGCATGGGAAGTGATGCCAAAATCCACGAGATGGCAACCATGGCTGAATTTCCAAAGCAACTGGCTCCTCCCCCACCCCCAATCTTTACCCTCAGCTCCTTATTTAGAATCACAGAATCACAGAATCCTTGGGGTTGGAGAAGTCCTTGAAGCTCCCCCAGCCCAACCATTCCCCTCCCCCTGCCATCCCACGCCCAAACCCCGGCCCTCAGCACCGCCTCTGGACATGCTCCAGCCCCTCCAGGCCCTTCGGGGAGGGAGGGGCCCCACCCTGACCCCAG